TAAATAGATAGTTCTCAAAAGAAGACATACAAATAGCCAATAAGCACATGAAAAGATGCTCAGCATTGCTAGTCATTAAGGAAATGCAAATTAAACCACAACAGACATCACTTCACACACAGTAGTGATGGAGAAAAGAATAGAAAACTAAAGGGAGGCATCACAAGACAGAACCTGACTCACAAGGAGGTGGGGGTAGAGGAAAATAACATGACCATTGACCCAGCTGTAGAAATCAAGATCCTTAGGCGCCAGTGCCTTATCACAAGGCATAAGACCCAAGCAGAATCAGATGCTATAGGGAACATGGAGAGCATAGACCTGAGGGTAAAGATAAAGAGATTGGGCCCACTGTGGAATCTCCAGTTCCTTTCGGATTCTTCATTGTTATCCAAAATCAGCAGCAAACAAGCCACTCCACAAAGGAATGAGCCCTTCCCAAAGAGAAGACTATATCAGTGCAGTCTGCACAGGCTCGGGACAGCAGTCCCTTCTGCCCACCTGTGACCATGCAGGTGCTTCTTTTCACCAACTCTCTCCCTCTGTAGGGCAGCAGACTTCCTGCCTGCCCGTGACCTGTACCAGGCCAGGACTTCTCTTTACTGACCTCCCTCAGCAGCCACAGCTCTTCTCAAGGCCACTGGCCTGTGACCATGCAGACCTCTCTCAGCAAACTTGTCCCTTTCAGGGCAGCTCTTCCTGCCCGCTTGTGTCTATGCAAATGTCCTTTATTCTTCTGTCCCCTTTCCCTAATAAACCTGCTCTTTAAATATAACTAACGTTATATAACAAACGTCTCATGGAGAAACTTGCCTGAGAAACTCACCGCATGCCACTGAAAGGGGAGATCTGGTGAAATCTTTCCCAGAGTAAACCCAAGGACCCCGCGCTCCAAATCTACCAACTCTAAAAACTACATCAGTAGGATGGCCTGTTCTGCTCCCCACTCTGTCTCTGGTGAATCCTCTCACCTCCTGCACCTCTGGCCTGCACCCTAGTTCTTGTATGCATAAATAAATTGTAAAAAATAAATCTTTTTTAAAAAGGTGAACACAGGGGCCCTAATGGATATTTATTCATCCATGTTCATAATGGCATTATTCACAATAGCGAAAATATGGAAGCAATCCAAAATGTCCATTGACAGAATAGGTAAAGAAAATAAGATCTATTTCTACAATGGACAGTTACTAATTCTTCAAAAAGAAGGAAATTCTGATACATGTTATAACATGGATGAATGTTGAAAATGGTGTGCTAAATAAAATAAACTGATGGCAAAAGAACAAATACTGTATGAGTCCACCTATGTGAGGTATCCAGAGTAGTCAGATTCTTGGTGGCGGATGGCTGAATGGTGGTTGCCAGGGCTAAGAAGAGGAGGGAATGGGGAATTATTATTTAACAGGCACAGAGTTTCAGTTTTGCAACGTGAAAAGAGTTCTGTGGATGGATGGCAGTGATGAAAGCAACAATCTGAATATACTCAACACTACTGAACTATACACTCAGGAATGGTTAACATGATACATTTTATGTTATGTGTATTTTGCCACAGTTGAAAAAATAAAACTAAAAAACATGAGCCTCAGCTTGAGAGAACCCAAAATTATTTCCTAAAGTTGATAAGACTCTCACTTAGTAACTAGCAATAACCAATCATTCATTTCAACAAATATTTATCCAGCATCCACCCCATATCGGGTACTCCTCCAGTTACCTGGCAACAGTAATAAAAGACAGAAAGCCCAGATTTTCACAGAACTTACTTTCTAGACTGACTGACATTCAGACTCATTTTGAAACTTTAATGCTAATATATTGATATACAAATGGTAGAACTGCCAGTTGATGTAATGCAAATGCTTCTTTATTTTTAATTTATTTATTTATGCATACAAGAGCTGGGGTACAGGCCAGAGATGCAGGGGGTGAGAGGATCCACTAGAGATAGAGTGGGGAACAGAACAGGCAGACTGACTGAAATACACTGCTGAGGGGAGCAGTGGGCGAGACAGGAGAGGTCTGCTGCACCATGAGGGTTTCTCCCTGGCCGGTTGGGGATCGAACTCATGCTGCGGAGGCTGTGGGTTGCTTCATAGTGCAATGCTTAACCCTTTGTGCCACCAGGGAGGCCCTACAAATGCTTCTTTAACATATGAACAGATGTTCATAAGGACAGAATGGCACAGTTTCTGTGGTTAGCAATTAAGCAATATGGCCATGACAATTAAATCTCAGCAGGCTTTCCCGGGTGAGTTTAACAGCATGTCCCCATGGGTATAATACCCAATTTGAACCAGCCATTCTGCTTTGAGAATGAATTCTAAGAAATGAATGCAAATTTATAAAAACATCAATAAGAGAATGCCTGTTGCAACATTATTTGCAACAGTGAAAAGAGCAAAAAAAAAATCTGAACATTTATTAATCAAATGTTTGGGAAAAGGTATATTAATACTACAGAGTGTTATGGAATCACTGAAAATAGCTAGGTTTGACACATTCCACCATTTTTTATTTATATTTTAAGGATTTCCTAAGATTTATTAAAACCATCATTTTTTAAAATAAAAATTAAGTTTTAGACAAAAGTGCAGCAGCATCATCATAATAGCTAAACTTAAATTGCATTGATGATGTGCCCAAGGGTCTTCTAAGGGCTTCTCATATATAATCTCATTTAATCCTCACAAAAACAACAGGTTGAGAAAGATTCTACCTGAGGCCCATCCATTGAAATCATATCTGTCCAGCTATCTGATTACAGGATTGTAAGACCTATATTTGTCATTCACACAAATGCCTTCAGTAGAGTTATCATAACTTTCCCAATTCCCAGGTCACCGGAATCATTTAAAACTTTCTACCCTGGTGGCACAAGAGATTAAGACACAACCTATGAAGCTATCTGCAGCCACTGCAGCACGAGTTCGATCTCTGGCCAGGGAGCTACCCACATGGTGCAGCAGATCTCTCCTGACTCTCCCGCTGCTCCCCTCAGCGGTGTATTTCAGTACCTCTGCCTGTTCTGTTCCCCACTCTGTCTCTGGTGAATCGTCTCACCCCCCATACCACTGGCCTGTACAGTAGTTCTTGTGTGCATAAATAAATCAATCTTTAAAAAAGAACACCTTTCTACCAATGGACCTATTTTCCATATCCCTCACCACCAAGACCTCTGAACCCCCTGCCAGGTATGTATGGGGGTGGGACTGCGGGGAAGAAGAAATCAGTAGTCATATTTAAATATTTAATTATTTTTTTTCTCTTTCTGCTCCTGAATTTGTACACAGTAGAACACTTTTCCTTTTTATTCTTTTTGCATAGAAGAACTGGCGTGTGGCGGGGGCGGGGGGGGGCTGGCAGGTGGTGAGAAAATTCATCAGAGACAGAGTGGGGAGCAGAACAGTTGGATCTACTGAAATGCACTGCTAAGGGAAGCGGACAGGAAAGGTCTACTGTGTCATATGGGTTAGCTCCCTGGCCAGGGATCAAACTCAGGCCTTAGCAGTAATAGCACTGAGACTCAACCCCTAGGCCACCAGGGAGGCCCAAAACACGTTTCTTTACAGTGTGCATTGATTTAATTGAAAACTTTTACAGAGTTAACTTCTGCCTTTCCTTGTCCAGGCTAAATTTTTCAAAATCCTTAAGAAATGGTTTTCGCTCAGCTCTATCATTAAATGGTAGAGGGAAGAAAAGACAGATTCCTCAGTTCTGAGGACAGTTAGTTAAGCTGCAATTGCCAAAAGGAAACAATAAATCAACCTTTCTAACTGCAAGTCCCAGTATAAGGCACCTGGGTGAGTGAGAAAAAAATCCTCCAGGAACTTTGAAGAATCCAGGGAATTGTGGAATTCTGACAATTCTTCTGAAAAAAGTGCAGGGAGTCTTCCTGGAAAGCTCATTTCTACCAAGTGACAGCCATGCTGCTTCGCCTGGATTGCGCTAGGTCCCGAGAGCTGGTTTACTCTCTGCAGCCACCATCTCCTTCTCCAAACAGTGCTTCACCTCTGGAGTCTCGGGCCTTTGCCTTCTGCCTGGAAATCTTTTTTTTTTTTTTAAAGATTTATTTATTTATTTATACAAGCACTGGGTACGGTCAGAAGCGCGGGAGGGTGAGAGAATTCACCAGAGCCAGAGCAGAGAGCAGAACAGGCAGACAGACGAAGTACACTGCTGTGGGGAGCAGCGGGCCATGTGGGACTCTCACCCATCGGCGTGGGGATCGAACCGGCACTGCAGAGGCTGCGGGCAGCTTCGCAACCCAGCGCTCAACCGCTGCGCCACCGGGGAGGCCCCTGCCTGAAAATCTTGCTGCTTAACTCCAGTCAGTTTTATGATATTGTTGGATCCACCCTATTCCCAATTTGATTGACAAACTAGGGTTTCAATAAATACTGATAGGGTGAATGAGTGAATAAATGAAGACATAATAAAATACCAATTTTTATAAAACTTTATGACTGTGCATCATAGAGACTGGATTGCAACACCAACACTTGCCAGCTGGGCGAACTTCACTTCTCTGAGAGTTCAAGAAACGTTTATTGACGAATGAATAAATTCTCAGAGATGTGTGACAAACTCCACAAGACAATGCTTGTATTGTCCCTGACCCACAATCGCGCTCAGTAGAACGACTACTCGCCCTACAATACCACCTTCTGTATTTGCCTAGACTGTGAGTCCCCTGAGGGAAGGGGACGCCTAGCGCAGGGGCACATCAGGCCGACTCAGAATGAAGATCTAGAACTACAATGTTAATGCGCTCAGGGGGAGGAAGATTACGTATGACGAAAGGATCTGGCCCTTTGGCAACGACCACAAGTCGCAAGAACCTCGGCTGGCTCAAGTATACACAAACCACGGCCTCCGACACGCACAGCTCGAATATGACGTCATAGGAGCCCGCCCCGTCGCACCCTGCCTGCTCAGATTCCTCAGCGCCCGCCCCCCGGGGGAGCGCATGCGCACTCCTCCTACTTCGGCTCCTTCCCTCCCTCCTTTGGTTAGTCCTTCGCCTTTCAAGTGCTGGGTCCTTTTTGTCCCCTGCTGCGTGCGGTGTCAGCTTCCGAGCGGAAGTGGTGGTAGACCGAGAGAAGAAGATGGCGGCCCCTGCAGTAGCGCCGCCTGGTGCGGCGACGAGTCGGGCTGGCAAAAGAAGCGGCAGCGGACCGGGAGGCGGGGGCGGCGGCGGAGGAGCCAGGGGGGCGGAAGAGGAGCCGCCACCGCCCCTCCAAGCGGTGCTGGTGGCCGATAGCTTCAACCGCCGCTTCTTCCCCATCTCCAAGGACCAACCTCGGGTGAGCGCCGCGCGCGCGAGCTGACAGGGCCGAGTGCTGGCGGGGCTGGAGCAAGTTATCTTTTTGGCCGCCTAGGGAGGCGTGCTCTGGAAGTACTTGTGTCTCTCCTCTTTCCCTGAAATTCGGGTTTATCTAGTTAGGAGGAAAGCGTTTAAAACGCCGATGACTGCCTGGCTGAGTGAGTGGCTGGCAGATTGGGGCACTTGTGGCGTTGTCGACCTCAGGTTTAGGAGGCATGTGGACAACTAAATGTAGAAGCAGTGCTGGTGCGAAAGCTTCACACGAGATTTAATGCCCCCAATGGAGGCTGCGCTGCCTTTATGCAAAATAAAAGGACATGTTTAGGTGAAAAGGAACATCATCTCCTTTCGCCTCCAAGAGAGAAGTCGTATGCCAAAAAAGGGGGTGGGGAGAGCAGACGGGTCTGATGCCATAGTAACAGCTGTTTTGAATCTCGTGCGGTGTGCTATTTTTTATTCTAGGTATTAATGACAACCAGCCAGTTCCATCTGTCAAAAGGAGAACAGAACCGATTTAGTAACTGGTTGCCAGCAGCCCCTGTAGTGTCAAAACACTGGGGAATTAGACTGAGCTAGTCCTGGTGTTGCTGGGTCACTTAGCAGCTCCCAGTTCAAAGAGAAGGAACTGCCATTGCATTTAGGAATGATCCTAATTCCTCACCCCCAAAGCTTAATCACTGTTCATTTTGGACAACTGATTGGGGCATGGCTAGCCCCTGACTCCTAGGGATCAAGAAAGGAAATTTTATAAGGAAAGGGGGCTTAGAGGTCCTTAAATCCTGGAGATACTATTGATTACCAGTGTTATCCTTTGCCAGAAGTGGTGTCCTGTTCTTACAGCAGCTCTGTGTCTGATGCTAAGCAAGTAGATCCCATGTTTACTATTATCTAAATTGCCATATATTATACTCCCATGCTTAAAGCATTCCATGAACATCAAAGGCAGGAACCTGGTCACTTTTAAATTGAACCGATAAAGCAGAACTGTAGTGTTATGCAAATATTGAGAAAGGAATGAAAGTTTTGTTGGTGGTGGAAAATGATATGCAGAGGACCCTCATGGATTCAAGATTTCTTTTTTTTTTTTTCTCTAATCGCTCACCCTCCAGGTCCTCTTGCCCCTAGCCAATGTGGCACTAATTGACTACACTCTGGAATTTCTGACTGCCACGGGTGTACAGGAAACCTTTGTCTTTTGTTGCTGGAAGGCTGCTCAAATCAAAGAACATTTACAGTAAGGCCTTGCAACTTTTCTTTCCATGTTTCGCCCATTTTTTCCCCCAGCTTTTTAGCATGAGAATCACTAAATGAAGGGAAATTATGAGGGGGGGGAATGTATCATTTAGGTAGCATCATAAGGTCTAAAGGGATTCTCTCACTTCTTTAGAGGTGAGCAGCTGAAGCTATGACAAAGACTAAAGAATAGCATCTGAGTTTTTTCTGAATCTCACACAGTTTGTTCCCCAGGGGTTTTACCTTATTTAATAACTCTAATTTGGAAGTTGTAAGAGTTACATCTTTGTCCATTCACTGAGCTTCTAAATATTGAGTTTTTCCTCATTTTTGTGTTTCTCATTCCTAGCTTAGTATCAAGCATATAGTGAGCATTTAACATGTTTGGTGAAATCCTCTTGAAAAAGAGTGGCTCTCAGGATTTATGAAGTTCAGAAAATAAAGTCTAGAATATTAACTTGGTCTCTCTTAGATAGTTATAAATTTGGTTTGACTTTCAAAGGAGAAAAGTACATGAAAAATGTGTCCCCAGGATACTTTATATACCCTAACTTTAGCAGGATTTTTAGTTCAAATCCACATTTGGGGACAGGAGTCAAGGTTTGGAGAGGAAATACCCATGTTTCTCTAACCCATAAAACAAGACTGGTGACATAGGATGCCAAAACCATTAATTATAGTTCATAAATCTCTCTGAAGTTGAGGACGCTGGCAAGAACCCAGAAAAGCTGCAAAGAGGGAGTCAGATGAGGAAGTGGGTTGGGGGAGGATTAGGGAAGGTGTACATGATCTTTATTCTTGATTTACTCAGTTTCCTCACTCTCCCCTTCTTTAGGAAGTCCAAATGGTGCCGTCCTACATCCCTCAATGTGGTTCGAATAATCACATCAGAACTGTATCGATCACTGGGGGATGTCCTTCGTGATGTTGATGCCAAGGCCTTGGTGCGCTCTGACTTCCTTCTGGTGTATGGGGACGTCATTTCAAACATCAATATAACCAGAGCCCTGGAGGAACACAGGTCAGGATGGGAAATGGTAAAGACAAGGGTTTGGGATCATCGGAGCCCTAGGACTCGTTTTTTGCAGCTCTCTCCCTTCAATTCCTATAGGTTGAGGCGGAAGCTAGAAAAAAATGTATCTGTGATGACAATGATCTTCAAGGAGTCATCCCCCAGCCACCCAACTCGTTGCCATGAGGACAATGTGGTAGTGGCTGTAGATAGTGCCACAAACCGGGTTCTCCATTTCCAAAAGACCCAAGGCCTTCGACGCTTTTCTTTTCCTCTGGTGTGTGGGTATCTGAAGTCCTTAAGGTGGGAAAGTGACTGGCTTCAGCAAGAGGGATGGGTGTTACAGTCCTTGTGACTTCTCCTCACAGAGCTTGTTCCAGGGCAGTGGAGATGGAGTGGAGATTCGGTATGATTTACTGGATTGTCATATCAGCATCTGTTCTCCTCAGGTAAGCTCTTCAGGCTGTGCTGCACATCCAAAGAGTAGAATTCTTGAGGGTATGTTGTTGCTCCCTTAGAACGACAGTGTTTATTTCTATTCCCTCTTTCATTGATCTGTTTAAAATTAAGTAAGTGTTGTCATCTTGATTCCATTATCCCATTGGGTTGGGAACCACCTTGGGATTCTGACCCATGTTCTGCTGACTTCAGCTCTAATAGGCCTCTGGGGACTTAACTTTGCTTCCCAAGAATAGCTCTTACTTTTGCCCCTCATCTCTCTTCCCACAGGTGGCTCAGCTCTTTACAGACAACTTTGACTACCAGACTCGAGATGACTTTGTGAGAGGCCTATTAGTGAATGAGGAGGTAAGAAAAAGCTCCCGTTGCCTCTCTAGGAGAGGGCTATGATCTTATCTCATGCTGATAACTTTTGGCCCCCTTTTGTGTTTTATTGCTCTTAGGAGAGGAAGAGAGCCAGGGTAGGGAAGGAGAAGCTGTACAGCAGGAAAAGTCTTAGGTCATTTGGCTGTGACCCTGAGAAATAGAGGGGAACTTAAGGTTAGAAAAGAGTTGTCCTGGGGGGTGTTCTTCCTGTCTTTCTTGCTTGGTTCTCCTCTCTTTCCTTCTCTTCATTCAGATCCTAGGGAACCAGATCCATATGCATGTAACAACTAAGGAATATGGTGCCCGAGTCTCCAACCTACACATGTATGCCGCTGTCTGTGCTGATGTCATCCGCCGATGGGTCTACCCTCTCACACCAGAGGCAAACTTCACTGACCACACAAACCAGAGCTGCACTCATTCCCGGCATAACATCTACCGAGGGCCTGAGGTCAGCCTAGGCCATGGCAGCATCCTGGAGGAAAATGTGCTCCTGGGCTCTGGCACTGTCATTGGCAGTAATTGCTCCATCACCAACAGCGTCATTGGCCCTGACTGCCGCATTGGTGAGCACAGGTGGGGAAGTCAAGCTGGCAACAACCTGAGGGGCTCCCCATGTCTCCAGAAAAGGATACCAAGGGATAGTCCCTGAGAGTAAGGAACTAGAGTGGCTACCTTAATTAAGGAGGGGATGGGGACTTTAAAACAGTGGTACTTTAATTTATGACCTGCAAGTTTCTTGTTGGGTGACTCCTCACATGCTAGAGTGCCCTATATTCACACTCAGGACTAAGTAGATAATTAACATGCAGTAATAACATCTGTTTGGTGCATTACAGTTTACAAAGGGCTTTTGGATACATTTCAAATAATCCTCACAAAAACCTGTGAGGTAGGTATTATTTATCCCCAGTTTATAGATAAGCAAACAGGCTTAAAGAGGTCAGAGCTAATAAAAGACAGTGCTAAGACTTGTATTACGACTGTAAACCCAGTGCTTTGTTTGCTTCACCATAACTGCCTGTATTGCCTCTTGGTAACTTCTTTGGTTGTAGGACTGTGGTGCTAATTCTAAAATATATAAGAAGTAGAATAATTTGGCTCTATTTGTAGACATGGATATGATTCTACTAAGTTTCTCAAGTTCAAAGGGAAGGTTCTTGGGTTTTGTTTTTTTTTTTTTTTTTTCTTTTTTGTGGGACCCTCACCAGCGGTGGAGGAACGAACCGGCACTGCAGAGGGTGCAGGCAGCCTCGCAGCCCAGCGCTCAACCGCTGCGCCACCAGGGGAGGCCCAAGGTTCTTGGTTCTTAAGTCATGAAGGTTCCAGATTCTTAAGTCCTATAGATAATCTGTAATTTTTTTTTTAAAGATTTATTTATTTATTTATGCATACAAGAGCTGGGGTACAGGCCAGAGATGCCAGGGGTGAGAGGATTCACCAGAGACAGAGTGGGGAACAGAACAGGCAGATCCACTGAAATACACTGCTAAGGGGAGCAGCAGGAGAGTGAGGAGAGGTGGGTTGCTCCCTGGCAGGCTGGGGATGGAACTCGTGCTGCAGAGGCTGAGGATTGCTTCATAGTGTGGTGCTTAACCCCTTGCACCACCAGGGAGGCTGGATAATCTGTAATTATTGTAAACCTGATGAACAATGTTCAGGCTGAGCAACATCTAGTCTGAGACCTGGGCTTAGAGGGGGAGTGGATTTTTCTGGTGAATTGGGGATGGGCTGTTAGAATTGGGTAGAAGCCGTGTTGCTGTCAGCTCTGTCTTCCAGGAACAGCCCTGGTCTAAAGTTGACCTCTGAATGACCAGGAGTCCTTTCTGTCCTGAGCCAGGTGATAACGTGGTGCTGAACCAGGCCTACCTGTGGCAGGGGGTCCGAGTGGCTACTGGAGCACAGATTCATCAGTCTCTGCTCTGTGACAATGCTGAGGTCAAGGAAAGAGTTACACTGAATCCACGCTGTGTCCTCACTTCCCAGGTGAGACCTGTTCCCCAAACTGAGTCATGGTCATGTCAAGCCAGAAGGGACTTTATGTCCACCCATTACTCAGCCCAAATTGAGAGTCCAAATCCAGAGGTTTCATTTACCTTCTCTTTAGCCTAGTAAAAAATGTCACTCTCATTGTCAGAATGTACTTTACCCCAACACTCTAATGAACCTAGCCAACCCATTTTTTCTCACCTAGGTGATAGTGGGCCCAAACATCACGCTGCCTGAGGGTTCGGTGATCTCTTTGCACCCTCCAGATGCAGAGGAAGATGAGGATGATGGCGAGTTCAGTGACGATTCAGGGGCTGACCAAGAAAAGGAGAAAGTGAAGCTGAAAGGTGTGAGGCTCAGCAGGTGTGGGGCATCTGTATATCTCTGCCCCATAGAAAAACCAGTGTTTCCTCCTGGAGGGATCAATGCCCCTTTTCGGCCTTTACTAAAGATGAGTGCCTTTTCCAGGTTACAATCCAGCAGAAGTAGGAGTTGCAGGCAAGGGCTACCTCTGGAAAGCTGCAGACATGAGCATGGAAGAAGAGGAGGAACTACGGCAGAATCTATGGGGTGAGCTAGGCCTTATTCCTGCTTACCTCTCTTCTGTTAAATCAGAATATTTTGAAAGATAGTAGATACTTCAGAATAAAACTACATTGTTCTTTTTTTTTTTTTTTTCAAGATTTATTTATTTATGCTTACAAGAGCTTGGGTACAGGCCAGAGATGCAGGGGGTGAGAGGATTCACCAGAGACAGTGGGGAACAAAACAGGCAGACTGACTGAAATACATTGCTGAGGAGAGCAGTGGGCGAGTCGGGAGAGGTCTGCTGCGCCATGTGGGTTGCTCCCTGGCCAGCCAGGGATCGAACTCCTGCTACAGAGGCTGTGAATTGCTTCATAGTGTGGTGCTTAACCCCTTAAGCCACCAGGGATGCCCCCTGTTTTTTATACAGACAGGGCAGGTATAATGTTTTCTATCAAAGGCTCTTATTTTTCTTTTTCTCACCCTTTCTGGATTCTCAGGGCTCAAAATCAACATGGAAGAAGAGAGTGAAACTGAAAGTGAACGAAGTATGGATTCTGAGGAGCTAGACAGCCGAGCAGGCTCCCCCCAAATGGATGACATCAAAGGTGAGAGATCAAGGAAGCAGTGTCCTAGGACAAAAAGAGAAAACCTTCCGTTTATTCCTTGTCTGGATTAATTAGCTAAACATTTGTGTTTCTCCTGGGAAGGGTTTGGTGTAAAGTCATAACTACATGACTTCAGGCATTCTGGAGTGATGTTGGCCCCTGAACTTAATCTTTGCTTTGATTTTAGTATTCCAGAATGAAGTCCTAGGAACACTACAGCGGGGCAAGGAGGAGAATATTTCTTGTGACAATCTGGTTCTAGAGATCAACTCTCTCAAGTAAGAGCAGGCCCTCCTTATTCTTTTCTCTTTGGGGTAACCTCAGACAGGTAGAGGTTCTTTTCCTACTTCTTCCCCAAATAGGAACTTATTCCCATCAACATCCCAAATGGTCAAGGCCAGAAGCATTTAGAGCAAGGAGAGCATTAGGTCTAGCCTTAGCAGACTCCCCTCAACTAAAATCATCCCCTTCCATGTTCCATCTGACTTCCTTTCCCAATGTCCTGCAAAGTCGCAGTTCTGCAACAAGCTACAAGGGCCAGTGAAGCGGCCCTGGTGTCACCTCAGTCTTCCCACAGGTACGCCTACAACATAAGCCTAAAGGAAGTGATGCAGGTACTGAGCCACGTGGTCCTGGAGTTCCCCCTGCAACAAGTGGATTCCCCAGTCGACCCAAGCCGCTACTGTGCCCTGCTGCTTCCTGTGAGCAAAGATTGGGGCTGGGTACAGGGGATTGGGTGGAGGTAGATGCACATCCTTGCTTGCTTAACTTTAAAGGAAATCACGAGTAGAAGTCTTGTGGGATAGGTGTTACTTGTGGTCCCTTTTCCCTTATCTCTGGAAGCTCATTGGTTTCTAGAACAGCCTTGGCTGGTCCAGAGGAATCAAATTAGGTTCAATATTTAGTGGCTTTGAGACTCCAAGATACTAGACTGTTACTCAGAACAGACCTAGATTTTATGATTCTGAAAATGATTTGACCCATAACAAGATCAGCCTTTGAGTGGGGAATAGTTTGCAGCATCTGACCCCCTTTCATCTTCTCTGGGTAATTTCTTTTTCCCGAACCTTTACTGCCAGCAACTTCCAAGTCCCTCTGACGTGATTCCGCAGGCTCTATATCATCTCCCTCTTGTCTTTCCATGTCATGAAAGACCCATGTTATCGATATTGATCTTTTTTGCTGTCCCAGTTTAGGTGAATGCTCAGGATGCAACTCCCTTCTTTATTTCATAGCTGCTCAAGGCCTGGAGCCCTGTTTTTAGGAACTACATAAAGCGTGCAGCTGACCATTTGGAAGCATTGGCAGCCATTGAGGACTTCTTCCTGGAACATGAAGCTCTTGGTACTTCCATGGGCAAGGTGAATACCACCTTAAGCCCCATGGTCCTGCATTTGCTTTGAAAAAAGCCTGGGGGACCTCCATGAATACAAAACAGAGGCTAACATGAACCCACGTTAACACACCAACCACCTTTCTCCTGTTGTGCTTAGCGCTGTTATAGCACAGCTTGGAGCCAGGCTTTTAGGCAGCCATTTAGAGGTTGCCCTGGGAATGTGCAAGGCACTACTCAGTGGTAGCTGTGGACGTTATACCTGCCCCAGTACCAGAGTGAACAGCTCACTCTTAACTATTTTGGTGGAGGCTACACATTGTGTAGAAGGAAGCTGAGAAGCTGGTTACAGAGAGGTGCTAAGATCTTGCCTCCTCTTCCTGTTAGCCATTATATCTTTAAGACCCCTGAGATACCTTCTGCTGGCCTTCTACAGGTGCTGATGGCTTTCTACCAGCTGGACATCTTGGCTGAGGAAACAATCCTGAATTGGTTCAACCAAAGGGATACAAATGACAAGGGCCGGCAGTTGCGCAGGAGCCAACAGGTGAGTGGGGCTGCTGTCTTTTCACTGCAGTGGTTGTCTGGTTCCCTGACCCTTGGCTCTGGATTCCATGGTGCTTGTTCCCAGGACTGATTGTTCAAGCTGTTTTTCTGTCCCTCCCTCAGTGGCTCTTCACTCTACTTCCTTATAGCTGCAGAGGTTCATCCAGTGGCTAAAAGAGGCAGAAGAAGAGTCATCTGAAGATGACTGAAGTTGGACTGCCTGCTCTATGAACTGACTGCCCTCTGGGCTCCTGAGCCAGGGCAAGTGAGGGGCTAATTCAGAAGGATGAGTAACCACCACCCAGGCTGAGACTTAAAAGAGCAGAGGCTGAAACTACAGTATTCTTCCCACCGCCAGCAACTTTGTGCCTCCCATCCTGACCAGGAAGTTGGGATGAAGGAAGCTGGACTGAAGTAAAGCTTCAGCCTTTGGAGAAGCTGGGCAGGCCCTACAGTTAGAGGAAGGCCAGAGGAACAGCTTTGTGCTCTGGTTTTCCCTCAGGGAACAGCAGAAAGCAACTGGTCCTATCTGCTGCTTGTATTTGTTAATATTAAAAAAAAAAAAAAAGGAGAGTTGTATTTGGTTTCTCCAACTTTTGACCGATCAGTGGTTCAAGTAGGTGACCAAAGAGTTCTGAACCTTTGACTGCAAAGGTTCCTTTCCCCAGCTCCTGGGAGAGGGGAGCAGAGGGGTGTCTATGGCCACTAGGTGGCACCTTGCTAATTGGCTGTTGGCATGGCTTTTGGGTTGTTGGAGGCCTGCATTCTCTTCTTCAGCTTCTATGGACCAATTTGTGGTATTAAGTGGTATTCCTAAGCCTATTTCCATAGAGATTTCTAAAGGTCATGATGACAAGCATATGTAAAGCCCAGTAGCCACCTCCCAAGTCCCTCACATGCCTATCAGGGAAGCCAGACCACGCTTCATCTTAAAGATAAGGAAATTTGTTCAAGATCTCATGGCTCTTGAAGGGCAAATTAACTTGAGCCTCAATCCAGAATTTTTTCCATTCCAGCATATTCAGTATCTCAACAAGAAGAATTGACCCAAGGCAACTACAACCTGAAGTCAGTGATAACTATCCTAAAAACTCAGGTAGAGCCTGTGAAATGGGCTTTCCCCTAATATTGAGAGGCATTTTGCTAAGTATTTTCCATGTTTCATTATTTAACCTCCTATCAGCCCTATGAAGTAGGTTTTATCCCATTTCAGATGATGAAGTTCAGAGAGGTCCCATAACTAATTATTAGAGCTAGGATTGTTGTTGGACTCTTGCTGGAGTTTGTCATTTTGCTGTTTTGTCATCTTTAACCTCAAATGTAAGACATCCTTTCTGTCTCATCTTTTTGAGCTCTTTGTTGCCTTTCTATAACTTACTCTGTTGACACTGAAATGGTGGCAAATGTCACTGTGGTAACAAGTGACCCTCCTGAACATCACAGATAAAATTATTTTCTTCACTTCAATTGCGTGGAAAGTAATCTGAGGAACAGGACACTACTCAGGTGTGAAGGCATTACTGAGTATTTCTTTTTCCCTCTTATTGCTGGATATTTCTGAAGAGGGAAAATCAAGCTGGCCAAAGTTTGGCTTGATTCACGTTTCACATTCAGTAAATCTCCATTTCTGCTTTGTCAGATACAGGATCTAGTGCTAGAGGTCCATGCTAAGGTTATGGCATGGACTGAAAGGGAGTAGTTAAACACAAATATAAGTTATCCAAAAAAAAAACCAAACATATAGGTTATCTTTTATCTAATGGGTGGCAGAGATCAGAGGTGACCTATAAGAATTTCTAGGAGGAAGCAATTTCTTGTATTGGAGTGATATGGAAAGCTTACATGATTGTGATACTTGCATAGCCTGAAAAAAACAGGAAAAGGTAGAAGAGAACATCAAAAGCAAAGCAAATGATTTCCATTTAAACATGACATATTTGAGGGCCTCCTTGGTGGTGCAGGGGTTAAAATTAGCGCTATCAAGCTACTGCCAGCCTCTGTAGCACCCTAGGCCTGCCAGGGAGCTGACCCACGTGGCTTAGCAGACCTTCTGTCTCACCAGCTTCTCCCCTCAGCAGTGTATTTCAGTACATCTGCCTGTTCTGCTCCCCACTCTCTCTGGTGAGTCCTCGCTCTCACACACGCACACACCCACACCTCTGGCTTATACCCCAGTTCTTGTATGCATAAATAAATCTTTAAAGAAAATGACATTTGATATGCGGACCTTTTGCTCCCAAAGGAATTATTTGAAAAAGGCATATAATTCAGTGATAAAACATGAGGTGATAACAATGAGCGACATCAACATTTTGGCACTTCAGGAAATGAGAAATAAATGAGTCAAAGTTGACTTAGCAGAATAAGATGGGTTCTACCTACTAAGGTGGTTATTGCAAGAAGCAAGAGCGAATGTGCTTCTGAACCCAGAAAAGACTCAGCAGAAGGGGTCAGGATTAGGGCTGAGAACTGAGGGTGAGTTGAGGGGGTATCAAACTAAGACCTGTATAACTAAGCCCACCTCTGCCCTCATGCCATCCCTCCCCACCTCCAGGTCCCCACCTCTTCTGGCCCAGCTAAGTGATTACTCCTCCCCTACAGGAAATGGGAGATTTAGTTTCTGAAGAAATGGTGGGGGAGGAAATTATCAAAGAAATACTTATGGTTTCCTGAACCCAAAGTTAAGTGAGTTTCCAGATTGACTGAGTGTCCCATAAGTGCTCAGCATAATGAATGAAATAGCCCCATGAAATTTCAGAACCTCTAAATATAAACTGCTAGAGCTTCTGAACTCAACAGCAGGCATGGTGGTGATGACGGTGAGGTACTAAATTGAACATGAGGAATTAAATAAAAGTAAACGGTAGGTTGGGCCTCCCCAGTGGCACAACGGTTGAGCGCTGGGTTGCGAAGCTGCCCTCAGCCTCTGCAGCGCCAGCTGCTCCCTGGCCACCGGAGGAGGGTCCCACATGGCGCGCAGACCTCTCCTGCCGCCCACTGCTCCCCTCAGCAGTGTACTTTGGTCCTTCTGCCTGCTCTGCTCCCCGCTCTGGCTCTGGTGAATTCTCACCGCCCCACGCTTCTGACTGTACCCAGTGCTTATATATATAAATAAATAAATAGATAGATAGATAAATAAATAAATAAATCTTAAAAAAAAAATGTAAACGGTAGGACTTATACCCCACCCCCCAGGCTAAAACAAATCACAATTGCAGGAAAAAAAAGGGCTGTAAACATTTTGTTGTCTTGGGAAAGAAAAAAGAAGCCATCTTTTCCCCAACTTGATTGTCCTACAGTGAAACCTGTTAGTTAAAAAGCCTTGAATGTGGGCGGATCTTCCAATCAGCTTTTTAGTATCTTAAATATATATAGACAGTCAAAGGCCATCAAGCAGTTGAAGAAACTTCCAATTTGAAAGGCAGAGACCAAAAAAGCAAACAGTTCAAGGAAACAATGACAACAAAGTAGGGAAGTTTCTGAACATTTCAGGAGGGGAAAGAGCTACAATTATCCTCAAATTGTTAGGGGGAACAGGATGTCCTAAAGCTAATTCCATACAGGCTTTGTGGACTCCACCCCCACCCCAGGCCAAAGCCAAAGACACTGGGAACTCCAAATCCCATCACCACCAAAGGGAAGGTGGCTGGGACCTGAGGGTGGGGTTAAGCAGCCAGGTGGGGTTAAAGCCAGACACGTGGGCTTTGGAGGGGTCCCCCATTTTGGCTCTCCGCCAGCTCGCAGCGTCCGGCCAGCTCAGAGAGTGCTTTTTGGGTTTCCAGGTCGTTGGATTGGGTAGGACGCATTAAAGACTTTATTTCCCTATTTTCTCCCTGAGTTGTACATTTTCCTTCTTTCCTTTTCCCTTGTAAATAAACCTTTTATTAACCTTTTGTGTGTGCCTGTAGTGAAGTATTAATAAGTCCCTTTTAAGCGCACAGGTGAGGACCCACAGCCAGGCAACCCGTTCAATATCGGGGCTGCCCTATAACAAAATCAAAGGGAAAACACTGTGTCTATGAAAAAGTGCTCTAAGAGGGGCCTCCCTGGTGGCACAAGGGGTTAAGTCTCAGCGATATGAAGCTATCCACAGCCACTACAGCATGAGTTATCCACCCTCCTTTGGGTGGGGCAGGAAACCCGGAACCTCCCCCTTTCCTGGGGACCACCCTGTTACATTAGATCCCCAGCCAGGTTGCTGACCCATGTGGCACAGCAGACCTCTCTTGTCTCACCAGCTGCTCCCCTCAGCAGTGTATTTCAGTCAATATGCCTGGTCTGCTCCCCACTCTGTCTCTGGTGAATCCTCTCACCCACTACACCTCTGACTACACCCCAGCCCTTGTATGCATAAATAAATAAACCTTTAAAAAAAAAAAAAAAAGGTGAAATCATTGATAAAAGGAAATGGAGATAAAGGAGAAAAAATAAGGATCAAGTCAGAAGGCCCTATATCTAACAGGTTGTAGAAACAACAGAAAGAAATGACAGTAATGCTATTAATTAAAATAGCATTGAATTTCTAGGTGGAAAGGGCTCACCAAGCATGTAGCATAGTGATTAAGTACGAAAATACGTCATCATGAAATTTCAGAACTCCAGGGATAAAAGACCCAAAGACTTGCAGAGAGAAGACCAAGTCTTGTACAAAGGCTGTTACTTAGAGTGGCACCCCAGAACCCCCAAACCTACTGGCTTTAAATGGGTTCTGCCATTCACTGCCTAACAACAAAACATAATATGTAAAATCTTCACCAGAAAGAATATTAATACAATCTGTGCAGTCAAGAGAAGAGAAGAAAAAGAATACAGTTCCCAAATGAAGGACCCAAAGTAACCCATACCCTCTTGGGTAAATGCCCAGCCAAACGGGGTCATCCCAAAGTGGGGCAACTAAAGCCCAAAACCCTGCCACAAGTCTAAGTTACCTTCTGGCTGGGAACCACAGGGAAAGGTCAGAAGGGGCCAGGCAAGTCTGGAAGGAAAAGAGAAAACCCAAAATCCAAGTTAAGATAGAGGTTGCCATTGTCAGCCTCTTCACTGGTCTTTCACCCATGTTTCTTTTAAACAGATTTTTTTTTTAAAGATTTATTTACTTATGCATACAAGAACTGGGGTACAGGCCAGAGGTATGTATGTGTGTGGGGGGGAGAGGATTCACCAGAGTCAGAGAGGGAAACAGAACAGGAAGAATGACTAAAATACACTGCTGAGGTGAGCAGCAGATGAGACAGGAGAGGTCTGCTGCACCATGTGGATAGCTCCTGGCCAGGGATCGACCTCGCGCTGCAGTGGCTGCCAAAAGCTTCATAGGTTGCGTCTTAACCTCTTGTGCCACCAGGAAGGCCCTCACTCAAGTGTCTTTCAAGTGTCTCCTTCCCTGACCCCCATGTCCCTAGTAAAATCTAAGGCTGAGAAGCAAGTACAGCAGCTTCTTTTCATGCCTCTCTGTCCTTTTTAACTTCCCCTTGCTGCTCAGCTCCACCCTTTCTTAGGTAGGGCAGGGTACCTGGAATTCCCCCTGTTGGGGGCAAAGAATGTCCTGAATGAACTCCACAAACACAGGTTTTATGGATCCTACCCCCACCCCAGACCAAAAAGATCCAAGACACCAATGAGTACAAATCCCATAACATCATCACCACCGAAGGGATTTCTGGGAACTAGGGATAGAGTTAAACAGCCAGGCATGGTATACAACAGACATGTGGGCCTTGGGGGTCCTTGGTTTTTCGCTGGCGTGCTATTGGGGTCCCAGCTCAGTGAAACTGGTAGAATGCATTTACTGATTTCTCTCTTTCTCCCTGTTATTCTTTTCTTCATTTTCCTTTTTGTAAATAAATTATTTACGAACCTCTTTGTGTGTCTGCAGTTGAGTCTCATTATAAGTCCCTTTTAAGCGTGTGGGTGAGGACCCAGAGGCAGGCAACACATTTCACATTGGCGTTGCCCTGTAACACCCCTTTCTGTGGAGATTACATGTAACAAGGCTTAGGAAAAAATAAGAGCTAACTGCTGGGTGGACAGCAACATTGGAAGCTAGAAAGCTATTGGAATGATACCTTCAAAATTCTGAAAGAAAATTATTTCCAACTCAGAATCATATTTTCAGACTTGTATGTTCTCAAAAAAAATTTTATTTCCCATGCTTTCAAGGAAAGCTGCCAAAAAAGTATTTACTAAAACAAAGGAGTAAAGTATCTAGGATAGGGAGATCTAACACAGAAGAGAGGTAAAGGGAATTGTGAGGATGATGCAGAATGACAACTGTGTACAGGCTGAGACAGCCTGCAATGTAGACCAGAAACAGAATGAAGCTTGAGAGAAGTGAAATTGATGGTTTATCTAATGTGTTTGCATGAACAAAATATGCATTGAGAAACTATTAGATTATGTGGAAAGACTTAATAAGTATATCATAAAATGAAAATGCAAGGTAGTGATTAATGCCAGGGGAAACAAAATGTAAAAGAAACATTTATTCATAATCAAATGTCAGTAGTAAGTACTATGTCATTTTAATCAAAAAGTGTGATTTTACTAATTTAAGTAAATTAGTAAGTTGGAGGAGGTGGAAGACAAATCCATCCATCAAAATTGGAAATCAGTGGGCAATGTCTCGAATGCATAAGTCAAGAAATAGTATGAGTTTTTTTTTTTAAAGATGATGAAACAGGGAGAAGGAAAACAGCATAGAGAACTGCTGTTCCACTTTCTTTTTTTTTTTTAAATATTTATTTATTTATTTATACAAGCACTGGGTACAGTCAGAAGCGTGGGAGGGTGAGAGAATTCACCAGAGCCAGAGCGGGGAAGAGAACAGGCAGACTGACGAAGTACACTGCTGAGGGGAGCAGCGGACGGCAGGAGAGGTCTGCGCACCATGTGGGACCCTCACCTGTGGCCAGGGATGGCGCTGCAGAGGCCACTGGCAGCTTGAGGATGCGGGCAGCTTCACAGCCCAGCGCTCAACCACTGCACCACCAGGGGAGGTCCTGCTGTTCCACTTTCTTAATACTATTTGTCTATGCATACATAAGACATTGAAAACAATTTGAAGGGAAGGGTATGGAATGAAAATATACAAAGTGTGTGCAGGGGTTAGCAAATAGTAAAAACTCTAGCCAGGACATGAAATAAAAAGTTATATAGAGGCTCCCTAGTGGCGCAAGGTATTATAAACACAGCACTATAAAGCTGTCCAAAGCCTCTACAGCATAAGGTCGATCCCTGGCTGGCCAGGGAGCTACATACATGGTGCAGCAGACCTCTCCTGTCTAGCTCACTGCTCCCCTCAGCAGTGTATTTCAGTCAGTCTGCATGCTGTTCTCCATTCTGTCTCTTACCCCCCCCAACTCTGGCCTGTACCCCAGTTCTTGTATGCATATATAAACAAATCTTTTTTTAAAAGCTACATAAAAGTAGATAGAGGATAGACTGTGGATTGCTTTGAATATCTTGCTAAGGATAACAAGGATATTTGGAAGGCAATAGGGCTTGTGAAGAAGTTTCTGAGCAAAAGAGGTATCTGCAAGAGATACTGTCTTTTGAAGTGCAAATTTGACAACAGTGTGCAAAGTGGAATAAAAGGAGCACACACTATTTTTTTAAAAGATCTATTCATTTATGCCTATAAGAGCTGGGGCACAGGCCAGAGATGGGGGGGGTAAGGGTGAGAGGATTCACCAGAGACAGAGTGGGGAACAAAATAGGCAGATTGACTGAAGGAGAGGTCTCCTGCGCCATGTGGCTTGCTTCCTGGCCCGCGGGTTCTCAAATCGGTAAGTTTATTACTGCCTGTACATTTGCTTGTGCCCCCTGCCTGGAATGCCCTTCCCCAGACCAGATCTTATAGCTGGATCCTCATTATGTCTAGGTCTGAGCTCAGAGGAAGCCTTCTCTGATCAACTATACTCCTCCTTCCCGTTGCTATTACATTACTTCATTTTCTTTTTCATAGCATTTTATCTAAAGTTATTAATGCATAAGTTTGTGTGCCTCCTTCCAGATGTATGATGGTCCCAAGGGCAGCCTTATCTGTCTTGTTTTTGCTGTATTTCATACTGTATGCCTTGCCCACAGTAGGCACTAAATATTTATTAAAAAATTCAAAACTAATGGGCCTCCCCGGTGGCGCAGCGGTTGAGCGCTGGGTTGCGAGGCTGCCCGCAGCCTCTGCGGCGCCGGTTCGATCCCCGGCTGCTCCCCGGCCACCAGAGGAGGGTCCCACATGGCGCGCAGACCTCTCCTGCCGCCCGCTGCTCCCCTCAGCAGTGTACTTCGGTCCTTCTGCCTGCTCTGCTCCCCGCTCTGGCTCTGGTGAATTCTCTCACCCTCCCGTGCTTCTGACTGTACCCAGTGCTTGTATAAATAAATAAAAAAAAAAAATTCAAAACTAAGGGGCGAGGAGGTGTTAGAAACAGATTACGCCTCCTTCTCATTTGAGACTTACTGTCCCAGTCTTGCCTGCATCTTCATTCTTGCGCTCATTCTTCACTCACTCCATTCATTAAGCCACTATTTTGCACCTACAAGCTGTTAGGATAGGAAGGAATCAGAATTGATTCTGTTCTGCCCTCAAGGAGTTCGGTGGGGCAGACTGACAGCAGCTCTGCTTCTCAACAGACCCTGAAGGTCCATGCCCAGGGCACGTTCCTCCAGCGATACACGGTCGGAAAACACCACCACCAAGCCCGAGCCCACAACGACCCCTGCATTACACCCTTCCCCGGCGACAAAGGCGCAGCCCATCCAACATGGATGCAGAGCCCAGGCCCTGAAGAGCGCGTTACCCGCCGTCCAGGCGAGATCGGCCTTAGCCAAGCCGGGGGGCCCAGGCGACCCCGGCTATTCCCCCGCCCGGCCAGGGGCCCAGCGGGGCGCCCCGCTGGTGGGCCGGGGGTCCGCGGGGGCGGTCGCCGGGCCCAGCCATCCGCCCGAGGCCCGCGGGCCGCTCCGGGGGCGGAGCGGAGCCGGGGCGGGGCCGAGCCGGGCGGGGAGGGAGCGTGCGGGGCCGCAGCCGGAGCCGGGAGGGCCGCGGCCACCGGAAGAGTCGCGCTCGCCAGCCGAGCCCGGCCGGGGGGAGCGGAAGCGGCCGCGGCAGGCGGCGCTGGGACCCGGGAGCGGCCGGAGAACAAGGGAGCTGGCGCCGCGGCCGGCGGGGAGCTGGGCTGAGCCGCTGGGCCCGCCGAGCGCCGCCGCCGCCGACGCAGAGGCCCGGCCCGGCCGCCCGAGCAGGCCGCGCGCGGGCCGCCGGGCCCGAGGCCGGAGCCATGGGCGAGACCAAGATCATCTACCACCTGGACGGACAGGAGACGCCGTACCTGGTGAAGCTGCCCCTGCCCGCCGAGCGCGTCACCTTGGCGGACTTTAAGGGCGTCCTGCAGCGCCCCAGCTATAAGTTCTTCTTCAAGTCTATGGACGACGATTTCGGGTGAGGATGGGCCCCGCCTCACCTCCAGGGGACCCCCGGCCCCTCCGACTTCTAGGGGCCCACTTGGACTCCCCTTTGCTACTCTGGCTTCTCGCCCTGCTCCGGATTGGAGGGGGCGACTGGGCGTTTGGAGGCGCCCGGGTCTTTTTCAGAGGTTGGGTTACAGCCCCTGTAGGGACTTTCTCTGCCCCTGGGGGGGGATCATCAGGCACCCCCCCCCCCACCTTGTTTAGAGGGACGTCCAACTTCCCAGGAGCACTCAGAGTTTCTGCCCACTCCAGCCCCCTCACCTCCTGGGAACCAGCGGCCCACATAGACACACACACCACACCCCCCCCCCTCAGTTCCACAGCTGGAGTCCCCAACCCTCCTCCTACCAAAGGAGACGCCTTTTAGCAAGACTTGGGGTGTTTGGCATTCGGCCTTGGCCTTCTTCATCCTTTCAGCTCCACAACTCAGAGCCATATTTGGAGTATTTTGCCTCTAAGGGCTATACTGAGGGACTTTGAACTAGGGGAGTTGGAATTGGGGGTGCTCCGGTGCCAGGCTGTAAGCTAAAGCCTGCAGACATGATGTTTATTGAGCTGTCTCTCCTGTCTCTTGTGGGAGACTGGATGTTGTCAAGGCAGCAGAGTGCCTGAACCTTGAGGAGGAGTCCTCACTAACACAGGTGCTGATTTCCCCCTCTGAACTGGGGCCTTTTCCCTCCAGGTAGTGGCCAAGGGGAGAGATGGGGAAGGACCTCACCCTGGATGGGAAGGCGGGGAAGAGTCTTTTGGTGTTCTCCATCTTCTACTCCCTGGTGAGGTCTTCATCCAGCTGCAGGGCTTTGGACAGGCGGAGTTTGGAAGTAGCAGCGACTTCCCCTTTAAGAGGGGATGGAATGTTGGAGCCGGAAGGTTCTGTAGCAGCTGGCCTGAGAGGGGGAGCCTGGCGATCCCCTCACCCCCCCACCCTGCAACTCCCAGGGGGCTGGGGGAGGGGGAGGCCCCCACTCTAGCCTGCCCCTCACTAACTGGGCGCTGGGCCTAGAGGCCTTGTAGAGAAGGCCTTCCTGGGCCCTCCAGGCCTAAAGACTGCCTCTCCAATCCTAGCCGGAGGCCTGCACAGCTCTTAGGAACTGAGGCCCCAGAGTTGAGGGAGGGGAGACATTCTACTCCCCAGTGTTCACCAGTTGGGTATCTCTCTCAGGATCCTGCCTTTCCCACCTCCCTACCCCCCACCCAGGCCTGGGAAGCATGCACCTTCTGCCTTTTGCCTGGCATGTTTTGCTGTCACCTTTTCTCCTGGAACCCAGGGTTTGATGAGCCCCTGAGATCATATGTGTGAAAGCTTTGTACAGTGAGAAGTGCTATGCAGCTTCTAACCTTGTTTCTTCTGTTGTGGCTCCTATCCTCCTGTAGTAAAGATTGCCTGGCTTCAGTCCAGAGACTAAAGCCCCTGATTGGAAGGTTCTGAAGAGTGATGGATTTGTGAGGGGTGGCAATGAGGGAGTAGAAGCCTTGGTGTGATAAGAGAAGAATAGAGTTAGAAGAGACCAAGATACTGCCTCGGGGACAGTAGGGGAAAAATCTGCAGAGTCTAGTGTGCTGGGGCCACCCTGGGACCAGATGTCTTGAGGGACTAGAATAGGACTATATTTCCACCTCCCACTCATCCCTGGCTCACTGGGCCTACCCCCCCACATCCTAAGCCTAGACCTTTCCCAGCTGCCTCCCACTCTCCCAAGGCTGCTGTCAAGTCAGGCCTAACTGCAGTCATAGAAGAACCCCCAATTACACTGGCTCACTGTTTTTAATATTGTTATTTAAGTTCACTATCAGTCTGTTCACTCTTTCTCAGCTTGACCTAATCAGTAATACAAAATCACAGGTCTGATTTTCTATTTAAAATGTTAAAAACAAACATTTAACTGTTGAATTAAGCAATGTTCAAGTCCACCCAAAGTCTTGTTTTTTTTTAAAGATTGATTTATTTATGCATACAAGAGCTGGGGTACAGGTCAGAGATGTGGGGGGTGGGGGAGTGAGAGGATTCACCAGAGACAGAATGGGGAACAGAACAGGCAGACTGACCAAAGTATACTGCTGAGAGGAGCAGCGGACGAGTCAGGAGAGGTCTGCAGCGCCATGTGGGTTGCTCCCTAGCCAGAAGGGCATCAAACTCGCTGGAGAGGCTGCAGATTGCGGTGCTTAACCCCTTGCGCCACCAGGGAGACCCCTCACCCAAAGCCTTCTTGCATGCATCTGGTACTTGAATCATCTTTGCAAAATATCAGAGCAGGCCATTTTAATAGAGTTGAGAACAATGCCAAAATGAAGTGGAAGAGATTGATCTTGTTTTTATCCCCAGAAGGACTAATGAACAGCAGGTTCATTAGGTAAGGCTAAAAGAGTCATCTTGCCACAGAGGACTAATAGCTGGCAACTATATATACACGTATGTATAATACGTATTTAGTTTAAACTCTTTGCTGTAGTTACAGTGTGCCAGGGACTGGTCTAAAAGCTTTTCAAATCTTTACTCATTTAATCCTCTTTACAGTCCATGAAATAGGTAATAATATCCCCAGTTTAAAAGGTGGAAACTAGAACACAAGAAACTTAAGTAACTTACCTTCATAGAGCTATTGGGTTGTTGGAAAAACCATGATGCATTTTGCATCATGACTTTTCCAACAACCCTATAGTGTCCAAGCTTGATTCAGCATCAGGAATCTGGCTCCAAAGTTTAAGGCCTTAATTACTATTGTTATCACCATTTTATAGATGCATCCTTTCTTTTTTTTTTTTTAAAGATTTTTTTTATGCATACAAGAGCTGGGGTACAGGCCAGAGATGCTGGGAGTGAGAGGATTCATCAGAGACAGAGTGGGGAACAGAACAGGCAGACTGGCTGAAACACACTGCTAGAGGAGCAGTGGGTGGGACAGGAGAGGTCTGCTTCGCCATGTTTGTTTCTCTCTGGCCTGCCAGGGATGGAACTCATGCTGCAGAGGCTGCGGATTGCTTCAAAGCATGGTGCTTAACCCCTTGTGCCACCAGGGAGGCCAGATGCATCCTTTCTGAGGGAGACGCTGAGCCTTGGCAAACCGTGGAAGTGATAGAACTGCCACTTACCCTACCTCCAGGAGAAGAGGGTCTGTCAGGCCAGTGACACCTGCTGACAGACGGGGAAGTGGGTCAGAGGAGGAAGGCTGCTGTCTCTCCAGTCTCTCCAGGTTTCCCCTCTGGGGTTCTGGTTTGTGAAGTCACAGGACTCCCCAACTCCCATCTGGTCTCCGGAAGTATTTGTCAAGCTCAGGGTAGACCCAACTTTAAATCATTTGGGAAATAGAGGAAGAATAAATATTTTCCATACTGAGGAGATGGTAGGTGGAAGAATAAGTACCCACTGCTAGAGGGGCCCTGAGCTGTGGGAGTTGGGTCCCTAACTGTTGCTTCCCCTCTGCACACACTGCCTACCTCTGGGTCTTATGCTGGGAGCTCTCTTCTTCCCCTCTTTTTTCTGGACCCACATTCTCTTGACCCCTGGTTGAGCTTTCAAAGTTATGGCACTGTCTTGTTTGTCCTTACACTTACCTAGCTCCTTGCCAGGACCTGACAGCTGAGCTCACATGTGTCCAGTGAACACATCTGCTTTTATGACTCTGGCAGCTTCCCACTTGCAGTGTACTTCCATGGACCGGTCCCTGGAGAGTAACCTCCCAGTACAAGGCAGGCTCCAGGTCTGGTGCTTCCAAGGGCCAGGCAATGGCAAGCACAGGACATAAAATCCACTGTGCTCTTGACAAAGGCTTTTTAATTGAAGCACAATGAATGATGAGCAGATTTGTTTGGGCCCTACCCTTAGCAATTTACCCTTAATTAGAGTGCATAGATCCTACTGAAAATTAACTTTGTCAAGATAGATGTATGAATGCTACGGGATCCTGAGCCCTTCAGTGCCACTGTGGGGGGAGAGGCCTGTGCGAGGTCCCCCAAGGCTGCTGAAGATCAGCTGATCATTGTGAGTCAGCAGAGTCTTGGCGACCTGTCAGTGATCCCCAGAAAGAGAGGAAACATCTGTAGCATGGAGCTATTGGTAGGGCCTGCTAGGGGTGGGGAAGACTCACCAGCAGCTTCCCAACACAGGGAGACCCTTTCCAAAGCAAGGCACAGAATCCCTGCATGCGTACTCCCTCTTCCTTGAGCCTGGTTCCCACAGGGAACTATATGCTGGGGCTACCTCTGGGGTCAGACTGGCTAGTGGATATGTGCTACTTCTCTCCTTTCTTTCCAGCCTATTCTGTCTCTGGACTTTCTGTCATGGTTCGCCTGGACAGCATGATTTGAGCTGCTTTCTTGGGGTCACTGGAGGGTTGGAAATGGTGGTGGAGCCAGAGCTGGATTAGAAGGAGGAGGGTTCGGCCTTCAGTCTTGGCTGTGAGTCCAAGAATGTGAATATCACAGGGAGCCAAGCATATTCTGGGCTGTGAGAAGCTGCTCCAAGTGCAAGAGAGGAACAGACTGCCCAGCCTCCTTCCTTGCTGTCTTCCCTCTCTGCCCACAACTCTAGCATTTGTCTTCCTCTTGCCCCTCATCGTATCTTTCTAGATCTGTACTCCTGGGCTGTTTGATGCAGTCTGGGGGTCCTCAAACTTTTTCATTTCCTTTCCTGACCCCAAACAGTAAGAAAACTGTAGGCTTATTGCCTTACTGCATGCCCCATACCAAATTACATGTTGTGACCACATCCTACCACACCCCCCACCCCATGTCTCACATGGCTCTCCCCCACCTCCATCTTCCACACAGATCCACCTCCAATTTATAGAAAAGGATATGAAACTCAATGGAAAAGATGGGTTTTGGAGTCAGAGAAGCCTGGGATTGAATTCCAACTCTGATACCTTATAACTCTCACCTTGTTCAAGTTACCAAACGTCTCTCAGTTCTGTTTTGTTTTGTTTTGTTTTTAATTTTTATTTATTTATTTATTATTTAAATTTTATTTTTATATTCCCCATACAATTGCAACCCCCTTATTTTGACCCCAAGCCCTCCTTTCCCCGCCCCCCCGCCCCCATAGAGTGTCTCTTGTTCATAGTTGTTTGTTGATTTTGATATTTTCTTTCTTATAGCTATTCTTTTTCCTGGTCCCTTATTTAAGTTTTCTAGATTCCTGCTATGAGTGAGACCATCCGGTATTTTTCTTTTTCTTTCTGGCTTATTTCGCTGAGCATGATCCCTTCCAGCTCCATCCATGTTGCTGCAAATTGCATGTGTTTATCTTTTTTGAATGCTGAGTAATATTCCATGGTGTATATGTACCACATCTTCTTGATCCAGTCATCTATTTTTGGGCATTTGGGTTGTTTCCAAAGCTTAGCTATTGTAAACAGTGCTGCTATCAACATAGGGGTGCAGGTGCTCTTTGGAATTGATGTTTCTGTGTCCTTTGGGTAAATACCTAGGAGTGGAATTGCTGGATCATATGGAAGCTCTATGTTTAAGTAGGTCAAGAAATCTCCACACAGCTCTCCACAGTGGTTGGACCAGTTTCAGTTTTCTTATTATAAAAAGGATCATCTCTATACAATGAGGCTAATGTGAACATTATATGTTCTAACTATAGGGAAATGTGATGGTATAGTAGATAAGAAGAAAGGCTTTGAAGTCAGGCTGACTGGGATTCAAATTCTAGCTCTTCGCTTATTAGTGGTATAACTACAGTAGTCCCCCTCCTTGCCTCCTACATTCCAAGAAACCCCGAGAATGCCTGAAATCACGTACAATATCAAATCCTGTATATACTATGCTTTTTCCTACACATTACATGCCTATGATAAATTGTAACTTATAAATTAGGTCTCATAAGAAATTAACAATAATAACTAACGTTAATATAGAACACTTGTAGCAATATACTATAATAACAATGTCTCTCAAAATATCTTACTGTGTGCAATATTTTCAGACCACAGTTCACCTGAGGTAAATGAAACTACAGAAAAAGTGGGGTGTGGGGAGGGCTGCTGAACCCACTGAGCCTGCGTTTCCTCACCTAGACCTGTCTTATGCCGTTACTGTGAAATGATACAAGTGCTTGGCCCATAATACATAAGCAAGAGCAGTTGTTACTATTCATTTTTATAATGGCAGTGAAGGATGTTTAATAAATGTCTTTTCCCTTTCTCTTTCCTAATTTCCTTAAATTCCTTGACTATACCTCCCAGAGGGATATCAGGATTCCAAACTGAGAAGGGAAAGACAGTAATAAGGGTGTGCTTTTTCCTAATTTAGGGTCAGAGGGAAAGAGAAAAGCCAGCCCAGGAGAAACATGTTGGATGGGTAAAGCACTCTTGAGGTTTAGGGAGTGGCCACACTCTTAGGGGACAGCTAGCTATTTGTCAGGTATAATTTACAATCACCTGATGACTCAGAGGACACCCCATGAAGTCTTTCTGGGGTGTTAAAGAGCTGCCCTTGGGTGACTGCCCCCCACTTCTATTTGAGCAGGCTGGTGCTGGTGATTTGACTCCTGATCTAAAGTAGAGGAGCACCCGAGAGTTGGGGTTGGGAGGATACTTCTATTTCTGCTCCAGAAAACTTGCCCTGACTCCCCCTCCCCTTTCCCTTCAGGGTGGTGAAGGAGGAAATCTCAGATGACAATGCCAAGCTTCCCTGCTTCAATGGCCGGGTGGTATCCTGGGTAAGGAGTTCTCCTTAACCTCCCTCCTCCTGTGGGCTGGGTGGCGGAAAGGCCTGGCTGAGATTGCCGCTGAGTTTTATGCTTTGATATTTGAATCTTCCTTGAGTTTTCTAACTGAACTGTTTCTCACCCCAGATCTGATAGCCTTGGTGAAAAGTAGGGGAGTGGTGGGGAGAGGGAAGAAGCAGATGCAGAAACACACTGGAAACAAAACTGTCTCCTTTGCCCTTTGAGGCCCTCTATCTCAGGTCCCCTCTGTCACCTGCCAGTCTCTGCTTGGACCACTGACCCTCTTTCTCTGCCCCCAAACCACGTCACCAGCCCGTGCCCCCTAGACACCCTGTCAGCTCAGCAGTGGGTCTGCTGTTCATCTCCTCGCTCTTGCGTAGTCCTGGGTCTTCTCCCTGTCCCCTGCTTCATTCTCCCCAAGCCCTCAAGCCCTGCCAGAACCAGTTATCTCCCTTTCCCTCCGCTCCTGTGCCCCCTGCTACTCCCATTATCTCTCCTTCAGCTGGTGTCAGCTGAGGGCTCACACCCAGAGCCAGCGCCCTTCTGTGCCGACAACCCTTCAGAGCTGCCACCGCCCTTGGAGCGCACGGGAGGCATCGGGGACTCCCGGCCCCCGTCCTTCCAGTGAGTGTGATCCAAGGGCGGGGAGGGCCCACGGGGAGGAACTTGTCAGCTCAGCCCAGGGCTGGGGGAGGGAGCCCCCAGCCTGCCCCCTCCTCCACCAAGTCCTTTCTTCCTTATAGCCCTCACGCTGGTGGGGGCAGCCAGGAGAACCTGGACAATGACACAGAGACAGACTCCTTGGTGTCTGCCCAACGAGAGCGGCCACGCCGGAGGGACGGCCCAGAGCACAGTGCGTTCTTCCTGAACAGGACCCTCCCCCAGCCCGTGCCCTCCCCACAGCTTCCACTCAGCTACCTGTCTCTCTGTCCTACTTCCTGAGCTCTGGATATGCCTGGCCCAGTGCAGACCCTGGCCCGCCCCTCTCCTCCCTTCCCTTCTGCGTCAGGCACTGTGAATCCAGCTGTCTCCATCCCCTGCAGCAACCCGGCTAAATGGAACCGCCAAGGGGGAGCGGCGGCGAGAGCCAGGGGGCTATGACAGCTCATCCACCCTTATGAGCAGCGAGTTGGAGACCACCAGCTTCTTTGATTCAGATGAGGATGACTCCACCAGCAGGTGGGGCTTTCGTTTCATGGGTACTGTGGGGCAGGTGACCCCTGAGGACCCCCGGAGCCCTGAGGATGCTGGGCCCCTGGGCGGGATAAGGGCTTTGTGTTGGGGACCAGGGCCCTGCAGTGCCTCTTATGGGGCAGGGCTGGGCCAGCCTGGTGGGGAACGACTGTGGGCCCCACAGGTTCAGCAGTTCCACGGAACAGAGCAGTGCCTCACGCCTGATGAGAAGACACAAGCGGCGGCGGCGGAAGCAGAAAGTGTCGAGGATTGAGCGGGTATGGGACCTGGGCTGCTTGGGCTTGCGCTTCCTTGCATGCCCTCCCCTTGGGGTCAGTGTTTAGGACCTCAGAGGGGTGGTGTTTTGAGGACTCACCTTGAGGAGGAGCTAGGCGGGAGCAGTGACTTCCTGCTGCCCCTGCCTGCTGCTCAGAGCCTCTGTCTGTTCCAGTCCTCGTCCTTCAGCAGCATCACGGATTCCACCATGTCCCTCAACATCATCACGGTCACTCTCAACATGGGTGAGTCTGGTGAAACCATGCTCTTGTGCCCCTACTCAGCTGGGCAGACTCGAGTTCAGAGAGGCACAAGATAGGTTCCCTGCTCAAAGATCTCCCTTTCATAACATAAACTGGTACATAAACTGATTATTGCAGTATCTCATCACCGGGGCTGGCATGGAGAGAAACATAGGAGGCTGTGGAAACGAGGGAAGGCTCCCTGGCGAAAGCCTTTTCTGAGTCTCCCCCTTGCCGCTTTTCAGCTTCACATTCTTGCTCTCTCATTTCTGCTCTAGGACTTTTATCTCTTTAAGAGGTAGCAGGATAGAGTGAAAAGAGCCCCAACTTTGAAATTTAAATCTGAAATTGAATCCTAGCTCTGCCACATGCTAACTTTGAAAAGTCACTTACATTATCCCTGAGAGTTGCCAGCTCTGTAAAGTGGGACTAAGCCCCTTTCTCTCTCAGCCAGCGAGGATTAAATGAAAGCGTGTTTGAGCATGCCGAACACAGTGCCTGATTCAGGTTCAATATATGTTAGTTCTTATCCCTTTCTACCCTTTTCTAATAAGGGGCTCAGAATTTGGATAGGAACCTTGCTTCCTTCTCAAGGCCTTATTACTCCCTGTAGAAAAGTATAACTTCTTGGGCATCTCCATTGTGGGCCAAAGCAACGAGCGTGGTGACGGAGGCATCTACATCGGCTCTATCATGAAGGGTGGGGCCGTGGCTGCCGATGGACGCATAGAGCCGGGAGATATGCTGTTACAGGTAATGTTGCCCACCCCCTCCCCCTAGGTGCTGGTGTGAATAGGACGTAGGGAGAAGTCCCTACTCTGTTTACCCTGCTTATGCAGAGCCCTCTTGGTGGAGGGAAGACCCCCTGATCCAACAAGTCAGCATCCTTGCCCCCCTCCCCAACCCAGCTGCTTATCTCTCTCCTGGTCCTGTTTTCCAGGTAAATGAAATCAACTTTGAGAACATGAGTAATGACGATGCCGTCCGAGTGCTGCGGGAGATTGTGCACAAGCCAGGGTACGGATGGGATGGGGCATCGGGGAGGAAGGCGAACATATTTCTGGCTGTCCTGCAAGGGGCTGGGTCTGGCCACCACATATCTTGGCCTCACCAGGGACACCCTTGCTTCCAGGCCCATCACCCTGACTGTAGCCAAGTGCTGGGACCCAAGTCCACGTGGTTGCTTCACACTGCCCAGGAGTAAGTGGATGGGGGACTCAGTCCTAAGGCTGGTGCTTAGCATATGTGAGCCCTGTCTCTCCTACCTTCTTTATTACCCTAAACTTCCACACCTACCCTGTTGGGCCCAGCAGTAGGCAGGACATGCAGCACCTGACTCCTCATCCTCCCTGCAGGCGAGCCCATCCGGCCCATTGACCCTGCTGCCTGGGTCTCCCACACTGCAGCCATGACCGGCACCTTCCCTGCCTACGGCATGAGCCCCTCCCTGAGCACCATCACCTCCACCAGCTCCTCCATCACCAGTTCCATTCCTGACACAGAGCGTGAGTTTCCAACCCTGTTCCCTGGGCCCAGAAGACAAGGCCAGGTAGGAGGGACTGAGCAAGGCCCACAGAAGTTCTTGAGTGAGTGTCCAGAGGATCTGGAGATGGAACTCAGCACATTCCAGCTACCTCACGCTGCAGCTTCCCTCAGTGGGCACCTGACCCTCACTAAATAGTGTTTGCTCTGAATCTGTGTTGAGCACCGAGAGAGCCTCAGTTTCATCTTGTAAGCTGGGACTAATGATGTGCACTTTACCAGGCTCCTGTGGGTTTAATGAGAGGATATAAGGGAAGCATCAGTGTGTGACATTAAGTAAGAATTCATAAGTGATTGCCCCTTTTCTTAAAATGTATTTATTTATGCATACAAGAACTGGGGTACAGGCCAGAGGTGTGGGGGGTGGGTAAGAGGATTCACCAGAGAAAGAGTGGGGAGCAGAACAGGCAGAATGACTGATACACTGCTGAGGGGAGCAGCGGGTGAGTCAGGAGAGGTCTGCTGCACCATGTGGGTAGCTTCCTGGCCGGGGATCGAACTCCTGCTTCAGTGGCTACGGATAGCTTCATAGGTTGAGTCTTAACCCTTTGCACCACCGGCGAGGCTCCTGCCCTTTTTATCATAACCCATTATACACCACGTTCAGTGCCTTCATTGACATTATTTAATTCTTTTTTCAAACACCCTTGTAAAATAGGTAAGTTCCTAGTTTTAGGAAAGGGGAAACTGAGTGTCCAAGAAGTCAGTAACTTGCCTAGCAGTAGTTCATAATTTTTAGGTGTTAGAGCTGGTAAGCAAGCTCCTGTCTGCCGAGCTCCATCTCCCCTTCCTGCCTCACCATTCTGCCTCTCACCCTAGGCCTAGATGACTTCCACCTGTCCATCCACAGTGACATGGCAGCCATCGTAAAAGCCATGGCCTCCCCTGAATCCGGGCTGGAGGTCCGTGACCGCATGTGGCTCAAGATTACCATCCCCAACGCTTTCATCGGTGAGAGGAAAGAACAGAGATGGCATGAAGGACAGGAGTGGGGAGTGATGGGAAAGGGAAAATGGGGGGTCTCAAGAACACCCTGAGGTACCCCTTGGAGCTGGAACAGCCCCAGTCTCAAGGCGTCTGTGAGGTCTGATGACCACAAGTCAGGTGGGCCTCCTGATCAAGTGCTGACCTTGTCCCCAGGCTCGGATGTGGTGGACTGGCTGTACCACAATGTGGAAGGCTTCACTGACCGGCGGGAGGCCCGCAAGTATGCCAGCAACCTGCTGAAAGCTGGCTTCATCCGCCACACCGTCAACAAGATCACCTTCTCCGAGCAGTGCTACTATATCTTCGGTGACCTCTGCGGTAGTACGTGCCTCCCCCACCTCTTTACCCTCTCTCCTGGCTGGAGTGGGAAGGCACCCAGAGCTGTGGCAGACAAAGGCAGGGAATGCAGATGAGGGAGCAGCAGAGCTTAAAGCCTGAGAGTTCTGTAGTGGGGGCAGTGCCCACTCCAGCCTCTTTACCTGCTCTGCATCCCTTTCTAGGGCCTGGCATTTCCTAAATATCTGCCATGTGCCTGGTACCATGCTAGCTGTTTCCAAAGCATTATCTCACTCAATCCTCATGATCTCCATCCCACCCTTGGGGGAATGGATTACTATCCCTGATTTCAGATGAGGAAACTGACATTTGTAGAAATTAAATAGTGCACCTCAGGTCTCACAGCTAGAAGCAAAGGGAGGCCTTAGATCCAGGTCTTTCTGGCTTCAGCCCCCGTATTCTTCCCACCACCGAGGACTGCTCTGATGAGTGTGTGGTACTGCAGAGACTTTGTCTCAGCAAGGCTAAACAGAATTCCTGTCTTTGACCCCCCTGCTAAACCTTCTAGCAAGTTCCACCAGAGCAGGTGCCAAATACACAGCTTTTAGGTCCCTGAGGGCAGGCTTTGCCTCAGGATGAGGCTGGAGAAACTTTTCTATTGGACCCCAAACTGTACCAAGCAGTTTGGACTTTATCCTGAAAGAATACAAAGCCAATTGTGGTTATTAAGCAGGAGAGGTCTGCAGGGCCCCCTACCCACCTTTTTTCCTTCTGAACTTGTGGACAGCCTCTGAGAATGGGAATACTCAAAAAACAGGATTGCTTAGGGCTGAGTGCTGAAGCCCATCCTTCTGCCTGAGTGAGCCTTCCCTCTTGGGGCTAGAGTACAAAAGCCAATTCTTACAATGCTTAGGTTCTAGGGACTAGTGTGGCTGTTCCTGCAGAGCACAAGTCCCTGGTGGAGGGCGAGGTCCCTGACCTCAGCAGCTCCAGCATAATCTGCAGAGTAGTGATAGATGCATAGAGGTTTGCAGTATGATAGTTTTGAGTTCAAATCCTAGGTCCATCCTTACTATGCGAACATGAGTAACTCAACCTCTCAGTGCCTCAGTTTTTCACTCTGTAAGATGGAGATAATAGTAGAACCTGTCTCCTAAATCTATTTTGAGGACAATGTAAGATAATACATACATATCTATAAATACGCTTTTAGCAGTGTGTTTGACACATAGTAAGTACGCTATAAAAGTTGCCCATTAGTCATATATTTAATTGATTCTAAGATGAACACTTTTTTCACATTTCAGTATCTCTGAATTGGGGTTCATCTTACAATCAGTGCCTTCTTAGTTTCATTCAGATGTGGTTATTATCATCATTAGCAGAATTTAGTCCTGGCTCCAAACCTTAGGGACACATAAAGTTTCTCAGGGCATCTGTGGCTTTTGCTCAAGAGATATGGTTTCCTTCTCTGTAGCCTCCTGGGTCTTCTATCTGGGACCTTCTGGGTCTTCTACCCATGGACCAAGGCCACCAGAGGCCCAGCATAGGGACATGCAGACAGAATAGGCCTTTCCCTTCTCACTAGCTGAGATATCAGCTGGGACTGCTCAAAGAGAAGAATCTAGGCCCCTGGAGCACACAGTCACTCCTCTCAGGACAGCCACCTGGAGACCAAAATGTAGTCACCAATTCTTTGGTCACAGCCAAGGCAGGTTCCTGCTTCCTACCTCCTCCCCCCCCCCCCCCCCCTTTATGCTAGCTGCTGGCCTTCACAGGTTGATGGTTTCACTGGCAGACTCCACAGGCTGCCTCAGCTAGTGCTGCTTCTTACTCCCCTCTCCCCCCCAACATACACTCAGAGACCCTTCTCACCTCTTCTCCCCTGGAAGTTGGGCTGGCTCACCAAGAGTTTGAAAGAAAGGGCTCCATCTATATCTGGCAGGTGACCCCTAGGGCAGGTACTACTCCCAGAGCTCTGGGACCTGGTGCAGATGGGGTGTAAGCAGTGTTCCTGGCAGGTATTCAGTCCTAGTGGTCTCTTACGCTCCCGTCCAGGGAGTTCCACTATTGCTGAGGGCAGCCTTGTCTTTAAGGGGTACGCTGTTTACTGAGGAAGCCAGGGTCGTGAAAGAAGTCATGTTAATACAGTGAGACAAGTACTGTGCAGAACCAGGCCTGACTGGAAATGGGGTGGAGAGCACAGAGAAGACACCTAAGTTGTTCTCTTTCTGGGCCTTTCCCACCTACTTCCATCAAAGGCCACTCAATGGGGAAGCTCTGAAAGACAATATGTTCATTCTAGCTTCTGCTGGTTATTTTTTTAGACTTGGTGAGGAGGGGAGGGCAAAATTATACCTATATTACCCCAAACTCCTCCCTGCTCCTAACTGATGACCTCATCCAGAAAGGTAAGGAGAAAGTAAGCAACTTTTAGCTTCTGTTCTGGCTACAGTTTAGGTTGGCCTCAGGCTGGGCATTTAACCTCTATGGACTTCACTTTCCTCACCTGGAAAAAAAATATGACTAATACTTTCTTCGTAGGGTTGTGTGAGCTGAAGTGTTTTGTATTGTGCCTAATGAATTATAGGTACACAATGGCTGGTGGTATCTGGTATTTCAAGCCTGCCACATTCCCCAATCTTTTACCTTCTAAGTGAAAAAAGGAGAAAATTGCCAAAAATGAATTTTGCCCCTTCTTCCACCCCCCTGTGAAAGGAGATAATGCCCGAAGCTTGGCCTTCAGGGGCCTGGGAATTGGGTGTCAGGATTTGATATTGAGCCTCTGAAGTAGTGTCTCAGGGCTTTCCTGAAGAGGGTTTTCCCTGACCTGCCTCCTCAAGGTCTCCCTCCCCATCTCTGGTAAGTGGCAGAGAGGGCCTGAAGGGGTACGAGATCTCTGGCCTGTGTCTCCTCCACTTCAAGGGAGAAACTACCGTGGCTGCTGATGTCATTGCAGATGCACTCCCCCACCCACAAGGCTGGAGGGGTGCAGGGGAAAATGGGTTGGAGAACCAACTCATCCAGCCCTACCCTCTCATCCTCTCCACAGATATGGCTAACCTGTCCCTCCATGATCATGACGGCTCCAGTGGCGCCTCAGACCAGGACACGCTGGCCCCTTTGCCACACCCGGGGGCTGCCCCTTGGCCCATGGCCTTCCCTTACCAGTACCCACCACCTCCACACCCCTACAATCCGCATCCAGGTTTCCCTGAGTTGGGGTACAGCTATGGTGGAGGCAGCGCCAGCAGTCAACACAGCGAAGGTAAGGCAGAGGAGGCCGTGGAGCGGGGGCCCAGGCTAGCCCCAGGTTTCCTCTGCAAGTTCTGAGCATCCCCACCCTGATTGTCCTCTGCAGGCAGCCGGAGCAGTGGGTCCAACCGCAGTGGCAGTGACCGGCGGAAGGAGAAGGACCCGAAGGCCGGGGACTCGAAGTCAGGTGGCAGTGGCAGTGAGTCGGATCACACAACCCGCAGCAGCCTGCGGGGGCCACGAGAGCGGGCACCCAGCGAGCGCTCGGGTCCCGCAGCCAGTGAGCACAGCCACCGAAGTCACCACTCACTGGCCAGCAGCCTGCGCAGCCACCACACTCACCCAAGCTATGGCCCCCCTGGTGTTCCCCCTCTCTACGGCCCCCCCATGCTGATGATGCCCCCACCGCCTGCAGCCATGGGGCCCCCAGGAGCCCCTCCGGGCCGCGACCTGGCCTCCGTGCCCCCCGAACTGACCGCCAGCAGACAGTCTTTCCGCATGGCCATGGGAAACCCCAGTGAGTTCTTTGTGGATGTGATGTGAGCAGGGCCTTCCCCCACTTCCAACCCACCCCTACCCCTGCCGGCTGAGACCCTTTCTCCATCCGTCCATCTTTTTTACTTTGTCTGGTACCTGGAAGGGAAATAAATGGAACTAAACCCAGGCGCGCTAACTGCTAGCTGGGCGCAGCGAGGATGGGGTGCACCCATTGATCGCCGCTGCAGCCTCTAACCTGCCACTTGCCCCAGTTTGTGCCCTCTGCCCACTAACCGCTGCGCAGGATGTGCCAGGATCTTCCTGTGCCTGGGACCAACTTGCTGGTGCTGCTCCTTACCCCCTCTCCCCCCACATACACTTCGGAAGTTAACCCCAGTGGTGCCCTTAGCCCTGCCTTTCTCCCACTCAGTTCCCTTTCACCATGCACTCGGCTGCATCTTCCCTCTTAACCCATCCCCTCAAGCATGTGTGCCAGTCTCTTGAATTTGCCCCCCACAATGCTGATATCAAAAAAAATACTTGCTTCCTCTACCCCTCCTTCTAACCCACCCCCGACCCGTCAGTCCTGCATCCTAGAGCTGCAGTCATCTCTAGTAACCCTCCATGCTATCCCTGCCTGGGCTCAGCCCTAACCAGAAGCCCAAAGAGGCCCCTTCAGTTGCCTGAGCTGCTAGTGGCTTTCAGGGAGCTTCTCAGCTATACCCCTACCCCATGCCTGCTCTGTGTGCTGGTTCCTTCAGACCCCTAATCCTACTAACCAGCAGGCTCACCTCACCTCTGGGCCTGAAACATATCTTTTCTTTCTTTTTTCCTCCCCCAATTTTTCCTGGGCCTGGAGCAGCCAAGAATTTCGGGCTGTTTGACTTTCTGTGAACCCCCAGCAAGGGGAGGCCCAGCCTCGGAGGAGACCAGGAACCCTGCTTCAGCAGCCCCTCAGGGCTTCCCAAGGATATTCAGCCCCCACACCCACACTTCAATATGTTGAGTCACTAGACTTCTGGGGAGGACCCCAGTTTCTCATTCATCTGTAAGACTCTATTCCCCTTTCCAGAGAGTGCCTGCTGTTCATTAGCTTGCTTGCTCTCTCTCAAATGGGTGTGCACACACACACACGTACACACACGTGCCTATGCAAATTTGCTTAAGTCTCAGGGCTGGTCCCTGCACAGAGGGCTGGACCCTCTCTCAGTCCTCTCCCTGTTATGGGGCTGGTCCCCTGACTTCCCTTTTCCCTTCCTCAGAGCCTCAAGCCTCCCACACACATCCCCATCATCTTCCTACTAGAATAAAGCTCATGAGCTGGGTCTCAGGCTGGACTCAGCAGAGGATTCCCCAGAAAATTGAAGAGGCTACTCTCACTTTTATCCCCAAACACCATCCCTTTCCCTGTTTTCACAATCACCATGTTAGCCCATAGCAAGATTGGGCAGAGGGACTTGTGGAACTTTCAGACAGAGTGCATGTTTTCTTTATCTTACTCTCCACTTGAAACAAATCAGGTGACTTTCTCTTTAAGCCTCGTTCTATAAATTGACTTACCTACGTTCCCATATTTTCAGGACTGGGTTGTTATGTGAAATGAAGTCCTAAGCAAAATACTGGCATTCATTCATTTAACAAATATTTCCTGGGTTTTGGGTGAGTGAGGGCTTTGTTGGAAGTATGACTCAGTTTTACCTGCCTTCTAGGATCTCTGGATTTGCTACCAAACCAGATCATGGCTTCCTCTACAGGGCTGCCTCCTGTTCTCTTCCTTCTCTGACTCTGCCAGACTCTCTTGAGAATTCCTCCACTATTGTTCATGCCTCCAGTGTTGGTGCTCCCAGTGTTCTATCTCTAGTTCACTTCTCTATTTACTCCCCAAATGTTGTCATCCATCCTTATGTCCTCACCTACCACTGACATGCTGTTGATTACCATATATATATATATATACACATATATGTATATATACACACAAATACATATATATATATATATATATATATATATCTCCAGTCCTGACTTATCTGCAATCTTTAGAGCTGTATTTTTATCATCCACTGAACATCTTATATATGTCCACAGGGACTCAGCTCATTTTCCCCTAACAAGTGTGGTTATCCTGAATTCTAATCCTGATAACCTTCATCACAACCTACATAGACTTATCATCTACAAACATTTATGGGCTTAAAATTCCTTATTTGCATCTTCTCTCCATTCCACTCCAATAATCCTCTCAATTTGGCCCTTCCTCTCTTCTCTAGTTCACTGGAGCATAGGATTTGAAGTCAGGTTGTTCTGGGTTTGAATCCCAGCTCTGCTTTTTGATTGCGTGATAGGAGAGTTATTTAATCTCTCTGAGCCTCAGTTCCCTCATATGTAAAATGACAATAATAATACCTACCTCACAGGGTTGTTGTGAGGATTTAAATTAGATATTGTACGAGAAGTGCCTAGCACAGTGCCTGGCACACAGTAGAATAGGTGCTCAATAAATGGTAGCTATTATTCTTATTTTTATTATTATTGCTATCAACTCTAAATTGGTAAGGGTTTAGGATATGTACTGAAGATAAAGCTTTTGGAAAGGTTGAGTGAAGCCTTGAGTACTGCTTCAGTGATTAGAAATGACTGTGTCCCCTCACTTAATTGCGTCAAACTGTGACCACGGACTGAAGAAAGCTTCCACATCCTGGCTTCTGGCAGGAGGATGGTAGGGACAGTAAGATTTGCAACTAGGTTTGGCCCTTCTTACCCTCCCTGTCATGAAGAGCTCACTCCTGCCCAGGGAAGGCAACAAAGTATCTGCCTACAGGAAGAAAGAAGCCAACAGATTTCTGGAGATAAAACAGCCCTGTGTCCTCTTCTTAAACGCTGAGGTTAACTCTGTTCATCAGAGAGGGAATTTCAAATACCATGTCCAATTAAATTCGACTTGCCAAAGGCTTTCTAAAGGATATAAAAGTCACTAGAAGGGACACAGGTCCTTGAGGAGCTCATCAAGTAGGTACATACAGGTGAAGTGGAACACACATTCATACAAAACTTTAGCTAGTTTCTTTCAAGTATCTCCCTCCTTACTTCCTGTCCTCCTTGGGTCTTGATCCCTAGAAAAAGACTCAACTCTGGAACAATTACAATGACTAAAGCTTGGGAGAATCAGAGGTGGTCTTAGGAAGCAGTTAAGTTGAACACAAACACTTCTTTCAGCCAAGTGGTCTGTGTGTAAAGTTTGGACAGCTAGTCCTCGGACTCCAAAGACAGAAAAGGCCTGCAGTAAGCCAAGGATTAACATGCTGGTTTCCAAATAGCACTAACCCTCCCAGGCTCTCGGGAACACTGAATTAAGAACAGGAGGGGTTGCAGAGACTACAATTCCCAGAATGCGTAGCGAGGAAAATTGAGCGCTCGGAGCGGCGCGTGCCACGACGTGTATTTCGCGTAGGGCAGGCCAAAGCCACTCCTACACCTACCTAAGGCGCTCCTGCCCACCCACTCAAGGTGCTCGAAGGCCGTCGGTAGTTGTAGTTCGACTACAAACCTAGAGCGCTTAAAATTGTAAACGAGAAGGCCGAGGGGCCTTACGGGATTTGTAGTCTGCGCGGGAGGCGGGCGCGCACGCGCAGCTGAGGCCGGGGCGGGGCCGCGGCACTGCAGTGAAAGCCGAGGCAGCGGGCAGGCGAGCAGGGGGCGGGCGGACATCTTGGGATCCGGAGAGTGGCCCGGCGGGCCGAGCAGGGGGCCGAGGACACCAGGTGAGCTTGGGATCTGGCCTTTCGGGATGAGGGAGGATGCTTGCCTCGCCGCCCAGCTTTGCTCTGCCCTGCACTGCGCTCCACGGAAAGCTGCCCACACCCGGGAGTGGCCTTAGCCTTCCGATCCCAGAGGGAACTGACGGGGCGGGGGCGCCCGGGGCGCGGTTGCAGGACGGGTGGGGAGCGGCGCCCTCCACCTGACCCGCCGGGCGCCTCCCGTGCGAGGGAAACGTACTGGAATTTCTCCCAGAGCAGGGACGTCGCGCGACGTCCCCTTCCTTGGGATCGTGACAAGCCCCCTACCCCTCCGCGCCTCCTGATTTCGGAGCAAGGACAATTTCCCCGTCTCCTTAGGCAGTGACACCTCCTTGTGCCGTCTCCTTGGACTGTGACAAGCCTCCCACCCTGTGGCACCCCCTTCTCCTAGTTGAGTGACACCCCGCATCTCTTCCTCAGACCGGTGACAGCCCCCGCACATTGTGGAACCATCTTTTCCCATGATGTCCTCCCCGGGGCGAAAAGCTCACCAGCCTCTCGTGTCTACATGTGAACCCCAAAGCTGGCTTCCTCTTCCCAGCTTTTCTTTATTCACCACTGTCAATCTCTCCCTGCTGCTTTTCCTCTTCAGAGTCTTAACCTTTGTCCTATTAGAAACTCCTCCTTGTGACCCCACCAGCCCTGTTGCTGCTGTGGGCTCACCTCTGTATATTGCCTGGTTGTTGCTGCCAGTCTTTCCCCTTAACTATATATTCCTTTCCTGCCCTGCCACCCACCCCCTGTGCTTCTCTGGTGCCCTGAGCTGTCTGTGAACTTGTTTCTGTGCCCAGGGCTCTACCTCCATTTTACATTTCCTTTCCCAGCCTCTTTGGGACTGAGAATGAGATGTGTCCACTACCTACAGAGACCTCTCCTTGAGTTTGGGGGACCTTGATAGATACAGTGAGACGCTTTATTTTCCAGTTTAGAGAAGTGTACCTAAATCCTCCACCCCACCCCACCCCCATGTGAAATTAATACCAAGGCTAATCCAGGAAATCTAGAACTAAATTAAATTAACCCTCTTTCTCCTTGTAAACAGTCTAAATTAGTTTGACCCAAATAATTTGGATAATCCAGGCTTCTGCCCCTTGCCTATAAGCCCTTAGGCCAGAAGTGAGTTATGTTATGGGTCGGGAATCACAGAATTTCGGGTAGGAAGAGCTCTTAATTTTATGAATCTGCACCCCTCCACGAGCTCCCCCCTTATTTTTATTGGACTCAGGAGCTGAGAGGAGTCTTCCTTTTTTAAAAGGGGTGGGGGGTGGTTAAAAAAAAAGCATTAAGCAACTTGGGTCATTAAGGTGTAGTGTGTTAGGGCTGGGACTTTACTCTGCTCTTTTGCCTGCTTATCTGACAGCCTGGGAGAGGTTAGGGCCGCACTCCACTCCTGGGTCTGTGTCAGCCAGTGCCTGTGGCCTCTCTTCTTTCCTCCTCCCCCCACCCTGCACGCCCTTTCCTGGAATGTTTAGCGTTCTGTGAATTAAAGAGCTGAAGGTTCAGGCCCTGCTACCCTCTCTTAAGGGTGGTGGAGCCTGAGAGACTGGGTGCTCCTAAAGCTGTGCCTGGGGGCCCCAGGCCTGAACCAACTGGAGTAATTCCTACCGCCATTCCTGCAGCCGCAGGCAGGCCTTCGCAGTGACTCATTGGCTAGAGCCTGAGTGAGAGTACACTGGAAGGGTTGAAAGGACCCTTGCTAAACTCGACCTGGAAAGAGGGGGGAGGGAGCTAAAAGGGAGGGTCAAATGGCCTTAGACCCCTGGGCCTAAGTCAGTCCGATTCTTTTTTCCCTTCCAGTGTGGGATAAACAGGAACTGGAGCTGGCTAAGGGGAGGGGCATGCTTGGGAGGGCTGCAGGGTCACTTGCTGGAGAGTTAAAGCAGGAAAAAAGCCCTGCCAGTGGCCTGTCCAGTTCCACTGAAGATATTAACAGATTCCAAGACCTGCCCTTACCCTGCCCCCACTGTCCTAGGTCTGTTCTCAGAGCGATGGGCCGAGGAGACTGAGCTGCCGCCATGATTGGAGGCTTATTCATCTATAATCACAAGGGGGAGGTGCTCATCTCCCGGGTCTACCGAGATGACATCGGGTGAGTCCCCTGGCTGAACCAGCTATGCTCCCCACCAGCCCTGCCCTCCTCCTCAGCATGCGGGACAAGGTCTGTTCCTACCAGAGGACCACCCCCCGCCCCTCAATGTAGCCTGGAAGCTCAGCTGGTAAAGCTCGGTTCCCATTCGGTCTGGTTGTACTGGCCACTAGGCGAGACCTGTGGAATGGCGTGGTCCCCACAATCTTAAGAACTCTGTCCTTTCTGCCTCCTCTTTCCCTTAGTGACAGAGATGGTTGCTGGAGATGAGTGCTTTTGCTGGGGCTGGTTGATTGCTCTTTTGAGGAAGAGAGAGCTCTCTCCGAGGGGTGGAGTTGGTGATCAGGCTGGAGGTGCATTTAAATCTTGCTCTCAGAAGCCCTTTTCTTGGTGACAGCCTTTGCTGATTCTCTTGAAAACCTCTCCAGGCTGCCATATCCTCTCCTTTCTCAGGAGGCAAGCTGCTGACTCAGTTGTTTCATTTCCTCTGGGCCACTCTTGGAGGAAAGCTTCTGAGCAAGCCTGAGGCTCTCTCTGGGTCACTGAGGAAAGGGCAGGGAGGCCAGGCTGATCTATCAGAGTATACTTGAACTAGCTGCTTGTTCTGGGTCCCTCAGACCTTAACAAGAAGACCCAGCCTTACTTCTCATCCTCCTGCATGCCACTGTTTTTTTCCTGGTGGAGGGGACATGTCCTGGCTTCAGCAGTTCTAATGAGATTAGATTCCTCTGGTTCTTGCTGTCCTCTTTTCTTTCTCAAAGAGCTTGAAATGGACTGTTGCGGTGCCGCAGCTGCTTAGCCCCTGGCTTCTCTGCCTATCGGGCTGGACAGGCCTTTGTGACTATTTGTCAATTGGCTGGTGGTAGAGCATGAGCTAGAGTTGTAGCAATGACTGGCTTGCCTGAACCTGGTTGGCTACACCCATCTGTGCCCCCTCCTGCTGCGAATGGACCTAGATAAACCAAGGCCAGTGTATATTCAGATTTGCATGCTTTGCTGTGCTCTTCACCCCTTGCCTGGTGCTTGTTTTCTCCCTCATGGTGTGTGCTGCCTGCTCCAGTGTGTTGTGTCTAACCCTCTCTCTCGTTGCTGTCACTCTCCTCTTCTTGCTGGCGCCATTTCTCTCATCCCATCTCATTGGCTGTCATAGCAATAGGTAAGCAGCCTGTCAAGCTGCCACCAAGGCACAGGTGGGTGGGGGGCCCTGCCCCCCCATCATTGTTTCTTTATCCTTTTTCATTCCCTAAGTTTGTCCTGGAATTGGATCCTGGACAAGAATGGGTGACCCAGCTCAAGGGCCCTTGGTGCTCTTCCCTCAGTAGATTAGAACCTTCTCTGAAGTCATGCTGGCTTTGTCTTAACTTCTGGAAGAGTCAGTCTTCCCCATTGGTGGGATCATTAATAGAAAGACTAGAGAAGAAGCAGGGTCTTTTTTTCATCTTGACCTGGTAGCAGCTGGGGTATAGCTGGGAAATTGGGACCAGGCTTGGAGTCAGGAAACAGAGCTTCCTAAACCTGATGAGGCATACTTGATTAAAGGTACTTCTACACTCCTGTCATTGCCGCTTGACTCTCTTGTCGCTTGTGGACTTCAGACACCAGCCCAATAATGGCCCTCCTCCCATACCCTCACTGGGAGTCACAAGGGAACCACCCCTGTGGTATAGACATTACCTCTAGAATTTCAGCAATGAAGGGGGTGGAGACTGTTAGCAACTTCGGTTGACTCTGGTGGAATGAGGTTTGCCTGGGTGCTGAAATGCCCCTGTGCACCCTTTTCCCTCAGGAGGAATGCAGTGGATGCCTTTCGGGTCAATGTTATCCACGCCCGGCAGCAGGTGCGCAGCCCTGTCACCAACATCGCTCGCACCAGTTTCTTCCATGTTAAGCGGTCCAACATCTGGCTGGCAGCTGTCACCAAGCAAAATGTCAATGCTGCCATGGTCTTCGAATTCCTCTATAAGATGTGTGACGTAATGGCTGCCTACTTTGGCAAGATCAGCGAGGAGAACATCAAGAACAATTTTGTGCTCATATATGAGCTGCTGGATGGTGAGACTGGTAGGGTGGTGAACCAAGGGTGGGACTGAACCTGATGGGGCGTGGCCTGGAGGTGGGAGCAGATCTGAGGCTCCGGTGCTCTCTGAACTTCTTTTCCTAACTGATCTTTTAAGCTGAGAAAACCAGTCCAAATGCAGACGTAAAGGTTGCTCTGAAGCTAAACACACAAGTATGCAAGCAAGTAGACATGTGGGAAGACCAGAAGGTCTTTGAGGAGTCTAGGGAATCTGATGGCTGGTTGCCTAGCCATTAAGCATGTTTCCTCCTCTTACCTTTGTGATTTGGGCCCAAGTTCACTTATTGTCCTCACAGCTTTCTACCTCAGAGCAGCTACCTCAGAGCCTACAGGTGGGTGAGGTACACAGGCCCCTGGGCTTTGTTATCTCTGTTCCTCTGTAGGATTTAAGCAAACAAAATCTTTCCACCTTCCCAGCATCTCTCTGTTAG